ACTGTGAGAGAATAAATTTCTCTTTGTTAAAGCCATCCACTTGTGATATTTCTGTTATAGCAGCACTAGATGACTAAGACAATGGGGCTGGGAGAAATAGAAGCAGATGACACTTGATGACAGGTAGTAGCTAACGGCACAGACTCTGGGAGTCAGGCTGATGGTGTGTCAATCCTGGCTCCACGTTCCCACCTCGCCCCGCAAACAGAGTCTTCCTTGTAATCATACTGAGTGTTTTCTTAATGCTTCAGATGTTCCAAGTCACCCCTCTTCTATGGACCCTCTGCTAGGGGCACACTCTACCTCCTACCCCTAGCCCCAATCTTCACCTAATTCTTGGTTATCAGTCAGATCTCAGCTTATAAGCAACTTCCTTTGGGAAGCTGTCCTAGATCCCTCCGTACACAATACCCACACACAACCTTCCAGGTGACTTGTCCCTCCTTAGGTCTACCCATAACGTCTTCTGCTCCCCCTATCAAAATGCATCAAACTGTGATGTAATGGTCTTTTTAGTTTTCTCTACCCTCAGCCCCCACCACACTGTACACTCTATAAGGACTGATGTTAGACAAATATATTTCCAGCACATATTTTAGTCCTTTCTAGAATGAGCATCAGAAGGTGGGGTTCTGGTCCCAGATTTGACTCTTAACTAGTTGTGCTTCTTTGGGCACGTTATTTCCCCTTTCTGGGCCTCAGTTTCTGCATCTGAGAAATGAGGATTTGGACCTCTTGACCTCTAACACCCCTTCCGGCAGTAACATCCTACAAACAAGATTGCCATGCATATTTAGCTTAACTTTCTGCACCTGGACTTGCGATGTGGCTGGGTTTGGCTCAGAGGTGGAGCGCCTTTGTGACCTTTTACAGTGCCTTCTGGATTCTGTAAGTGACCCCATTCTGGGACCAAGTCTGTCAAAGGTTGAGCACCTGTGTTCTTCCAAGTTCAAGTCCAAGATCAGGACCTGGTACAAAGAGTATTCTTGCAAATGTCTCTCTCTCTCTCTCATTGTTTTAACTGGCACATGGCAGGTGGAGGGGAATCCTAATCAGGAGAAGTGCAATTGCTTTTCTTATAAATCTCACCCACCTTTTTCCAAAAAGAAAGAGCGACTGAAAAGTCATCCTTTGTGTAGACTTAGGAAGCTGGTCAGATGAGAGGACAAAGGAACAGTTGCCACATCTCTTTTCAGACCTTCCCCAGCCCAGGAACAGGCTCTGCACCAAGGATGTAGCACGGAGAAGCTGGAAGATGATACCCTTCCCCATTTACTTTCTCTTCAGAACTTCAGATCTCTCCGAAAACAAGAGCATCCCTGGTTCTTTCACACAACCCAAGCAAGAGCTTTCTCAGGAACTATTTTCTTTAAAAGTCTATAATCCCTTACACAGAACAAAATGTTTTGAGAAAAAAGAAAAAAAAAAAACTTACACAAAGATTTACACCGCTTTTAGGACGGGGCAGAGAATGTCTTGAGGGAAGAAGCAGCAGTAATCAACAAGCAGCCCTGGAAAAAAGGTAGCACAGTACAGAGGCTGAAAGGAGAGGCCAGTCTGGGGCCACTTCTCTGTCCTCCCCCTACCTCCGAGGAAACCCTCCAGCACCATTGCCCAGAAAACCTCCATCTTCTATACCAAAGGGCCCTGGGAATGTGATGACTAAACCAGGCAGCCTGTGGGCTTTGGAATCACACAGACAGGAGACTGAATACCACTTCCAGCCCTTACATGGGACCTCAGCTAGTCTCAGACCTCTGTGTCTCCATTTGCTCATATGTTATTATAAGGATACTGTCTGCCTCTCAAGGTTGTTGAATTTCTACATAAGTTAGCACCATGCATAATTTTATAAATTTTATAAATCCTTGTTTCTGTTGGATGAAGAATGACTTTTCTATTACATGATGTATATCACCATCACAGTTATGGCGCAGGGGTGCGTAGGGGCACCCAAGGATGGAGCCAACATTCACAAAGCCTCTAATATGTCATAGCCGTGATGTTACATGTGTTCGCATGTTTACATGATCACGTGGTATAAGAAGTGGGGATACTACTGAGCTTTTCTGGGTCCCCCCTGCTTTACCTATAGAACCACACAAGTTGGAGAGCTCCTGGTGCTCGTCCCTCACGGACCTGAAACATAGCGTGTTCACGTGGATGAATCTCAGAATGTCAGCATTCAGACCTCAGCAAGGGAAGTTATGGGGCCTTGGGAAGATGGCAGGATCGTCCAAAGCAGTCTGAAAGGAATTGGGGGTGGGGAGCATGAGGAAAGACAGAGGCAGCAAGGAGAACTGGGAGATGGAGGGCAGGAAGTAAAGGAAGCAAAGTGGAAGGAGAAGAGAGAAGATGGGGAGGGCAGGAAAGAGGTGAAAGGGTTGTAAGCTCAAAGGCGCATTGTGTGTGACGTTTTGGAGAGGCAGGATTCATGGTCATTTCCTGCCATAAGCCCGACTCCAGTCGGTAGACGTTTCACATGCTAAATATCAAAGGGTTCTCAATAACAAATGTACCTCCTGCCACGTTTTGGATCTGCCTCCTTTGCCAGCAAAGGAGCTTCAGAACTCAAACGGTGTGGGGGCAAGAAAAGAGAGTGGGTGTTTGTGTAAAGCCACGTAAAGTTTTCTCAAGTTTACCTGCGGGCAACAGAGCCCCACACTCCGTGAGGCAGCCAACATCCCCAATGAGACGGCTCCCAGCCCCCTCCCACCCTCTCCCCAGGAATGGATGGGCCACTGGTCACGTGCTGTGGGGACTGGTTGTGCAGGAATCTGCAAAATGTTAGCCCGCCTTAGGGTGGTATTTCCCCCTGCCTCCCCCACTCCCCTTTTTTTAACTTTTCCTACTTTTTCTCAGAAACAGGGCCTGTGTCTCCACGCCTCCTTTACACATATTGGTTCTGACAGCTCAAATTAATATGTCAGATGCTGTGATCCTCTCTGGCGACAGGCCTTTTGACCCTATCAGCGCAATCTGCTTCCCTGATTGAAAATCTCTGCGCCTCAAATTGATTCGGAGTTTTATAAACATCCTGCAGCCATGATCCAAGGAAGCCAGATGAACAACCTGGGAGAGCTTAATTTGCCCTCCTTCACCCTGTGCCTCCAACCAGCAGAGCAGCAGGGCGGGACGACCAAAGGGATTGAAAGCAAGGGGGTAGACTTGGCAACCTGGCAGGCTAAGACCCCAGGGACCCCCAGCTGAGCTGTGACCCCCCCCCCCAACACCTCCTGCCCAAAACCCACTCCCATCAAGTCAATTCTGACTCAGAGTGATCCTATAGGACAGGGTCAAATTGCCCCCATAGGGTTTCCAAAGCTGTAAATCTTTACGGAAGCAGACTGCCACATTTTTCTCCTGAGGAACAGCCACCGATCTTCTGGTTAACAGCTGAGCGCTTAACCACTGCGCCACGAGGGCTCCTTTTCCACCCTCTGCACGCACCCTAAAATACAACTGGAAAGGTCCAGTGAGGGAGCACTTGATTAGCCATCAGAAAGTCTGGGCTGCTTCGTTCTGCCGCTTACTGGCTGTGTGACCCTGGAAAAGGTACTTAATCTCTCTGAGCCTTGGTTTTCTCTTCTTGAAAACGAAGATAATAATAACCACCCTGCTAATGCAACAGAATTGCTGTACGGATGGAGGGAGATGATGCATCCTTAAAGGACTGAGGAAATGCAGGGAATCATTACTGTTTTCTATAATACACTGAGAAAATGGATGAAACAAAATTGGCAAAATGTTGATAACTGTAGATGCTGGGAAATGCGCACACGGGGATTCACTATGCTATTCTAATTTTACGTATGTTTGAAAATTCCCAAACTAAACTTTTTAAAACCATATACATCGATCCAGGAAGTATCCAAGTCTTAGAAGTACATGTGTGTTCACATGCGTGTGTGTGTGCACGCACACACACACATGCACACGAAGGTATAAAAAAAAACAAAACTCACTGCCTTTGAGTCTATCCCAACTCATAGCGACCCTGTCGGACAGAGTAGAACTCCCTATACGAAGCGACAGTTCCCTGAAAAAGGGCCAGCAGCGGGGAAGGGACAGAGCTCTGTGCATAGCGATCACCAGTTCATGAGGACACTTTCACAGAGCCCACCCTCCCTCCAGTGCCCTCAGCACCCTCCCAGGGCCTCTAACATGGCATAGCACATGGGACGATGGTGTACCCATCCACTGCAGCCTCCTGCATAGCACCTTGAGCTCTTTGAGTGCAGGGACAGGGGCATGTTGTAGCTACCTCACTCCCTCCCACCCAGCACAGAGCACACTGTTGATTCACTCAGCAGATCCCCTTTTTGCAGCCACTCCGCTGGCTTTGTGATGCTGAGGCTGCTCTCCTGCCAGGCAGTCAGGATGCCTCCAACACCTTCCATCCTGCTGTTACAGCATCGCAGCCCAGCTACCCTCAGACTGTCTGCCTGGGAGAGGCAGAGCTGGCCAGAGGGGACAAGCATCATTACTAAGGAGACGGTTAGGATGGGTTCAGGTTTTAGCCAAGCACACCCAGGTGGCTCTGCTAGGCTTACACACTTTGAGCAACTCTGCCTGACAGCCACCAGCAGGGGTGGGTCCTTTACTGGTCAGGCTTTCCAGAGGTAACAGGAGCAGTAGGAAGGGCAGACCTGGGACACTGGCTGTTCCATCCTCCACCCCACATTGATGCTACAAGAAGACACAGATTTCCCTTGATCTTCTCCACGCCCCACAGCAGCCCCCAGCGGCCCCCTTTGCCCCTCAGAGAAATGCATCTGACTTACTCCACCCTATTCCACCCACCCCTCTTATCATTGCCCCCACCAGGTCCCCCTGGGAGGGAAGAGCGTGGGCAGGAGAGAAGGAAGATGAAGGAGAAGAACATTGACTCTTATATGAACCAAGAGACACCAACCACAGTTCTACCCATAACAGGGCCCCAACGTTTGGCCCCAGGTTCCATCATAAACCACAGAGGAAGTTCTCACCAATCTCAGTTTCTCATCGTGGAGGCTGACGGTGAAGAATCTCATGGCTCAGCAGCCTAGCAGACAGGTCCTTCCCGCTGGTCGCCTCCATGGGGCTCTAAAGAAATAATGGCCTGAACACAGTCGTCTGCCTTACTTCCTTATCCCTTTTCTTAGTCTCCTGGTGCTGCTGGAACAGAAATATCACAAGTAGGTGGCCTTAAAGAACATAAATTTATTTTCTCAAGGTTCAGGCGGCTGGAAGTCCAAACTCAGGGCACTGGCTCTAGGGGAAGGCTCTCTCTGTGGGCTCTGAGGGAAGGTCCTTGTCTCTTTCAGCTTCTATAATCCTGACATGGCATTCCCCCTTTCCTGGGTGATCAAGTGGCTTCTATCTTCCCCCATATGTGCTTCTTGTCTCTGTGTCTATACTGCTCTTTACAGCTCAGAAATGATTAGGTTTAGGACACATCCTGCACTGACATGGCCTCATTAACATAACAAAGAAAACTATTTCCAAACTGAGGGGAGGGGGGACACAATTCAATCCATAACACCCCTCCACTTCCAAAGTCGTCACAACAACAAAAGGCTTTCTGGACAGTCTTCTTGAGTGTAAGTGAAAGTACTCACTGCAGCTGGCTTCCAAATAAACAAAAAACAAGCCTGTTGCCATCAATTCCAATTCATAGCGACCCTACAGGACAGAGTAGGACTGCCCCGTAGGGTTTCCAAGAAGCAGCTGGTAGATTCAAACTGCTGACCTTTTGGTTAGCAGCTGAGCTCTTGTCCACTGTACCACCAGAGCTCCTGCTTCCAAATAGACAAATAGATACAACACTTGTTTCTTCAAATTCCATCCATCTAGCCCTCTGTCTTTCTCCAGCCGCACCTACATGGCCCAAGACATGTTCAAGCTAGGGAAACAGACGGCCTTAGGCTCGGATCCTAGCTCTACCACTTACCAGCTGTGTGAACGATGGCAAATTATGTAATCTTTCTGTGCCTCAGTGTCTTCAACTATAAAATGGGATAATAATTGTATCTATCTCAAAAGACTGTTCAACAGATTAACTGAGTATGTCTGACACATGACACGTAGTAAATGCGCTATGTGTTACTGTTGTTGTTATGGTGGTGGTTAATATTATTATCATCATCACTGTTGCTATTTATTAGGAACCCTTGTTTCTGGCTTCCCAAAAAGTCATCTCTTTCTTCTCTCCTTCCAAACCAAGCTTACTCACCTTTTCGTTGATCAGGAAGTCTGTTCTCAAAGTCCAAATCATTGCTCAAAACTAAAGCATGTTTTTTTTCTTTCTCAAACTCTCTTCCTTCCTACAGCTCAAATGTTCATCTGTTCATGATGCTTTGTGAACCTCGAGACATTGCATTTTCCCTGAAAAAAACAACAAAATACCTTTGGCTCATCCATGAACTTGTATTAATAATTGCTGCCCATTTACAAAGCTCTTTTATTTACAGTTTGCCATTAATCCTTTATGGAGGCCTGGAAATGGTAAGTGATTTTCCCCAGGCCCTACTGCTTGTAAATGGCAGAGCCACAACTGGACTCCTGGCCTGACTCCACATCCAGTGTCCTTTCTAAACCTCATCTGCCCCTGTGAGATACCTGAGAATACACACCAGACACCAGAGACGCCATTTCCCAGGAAACCCTTCCCCTTCTCACACGATAAGGGGTCTCTACAGCAGAGAGTCATAACTAAAAAATGGTGATGGAGATGAATTTAGGTCAACATGGAAAGATAGTATGATATACTGTTGATTTAAAAACCAGATTACAAACCATGATGTACAACAGGATTTCATTTTTGAAAACACACACACATACACACAAAGACAAGTCCGGAAAGATATACATTTAGTGTTGACAGTGTTAGAATGAATAGTTTTTTTATTATTATTCTTTTGATTTATCTTGTATTTTCTAATTTTTCTACAAAACACATTATTGTATTTGTAATTTTAAAAAACCTGAGGAAAAGTGAACACAAATGTGTAAATGCTGTACTGTTCACCTGTGAGCTGCTGGGTTTGGAGCTTTCTACTAACTGAGGAGAAATGGATAAGCGAGAGGAATTTTGTCTCTCCACGGCCTCTCCACACAAGACCCTGAACCCACATAGCAATGGCAGCCCCCACATTTCCAGGAAAGCCTTTGTTCCTCCTCAACCTCAATATGAGGTGATCAGAGAAGAAAGAGCGATCCTGGTAACAGCAGAGAAAGCTGGCAGTGACAAGCTCTGGAATTTGGAGCAGGATGTACAGCATGAGGGAGTTGGGAAAATGGGTGCTGGAGAGGGCAAGTCCCACAGTGACTGTTGCAAAAGGAGAAGGCTGGACTAGGGTGCCGAGGGCCCTTTCTCCTTGTGTTCCATGAGTTTTTGGAGACAGTCACCCCCCTGGCAAGAGAGGCAGATGCATCATAAAACATTTTTGCCTAACAGAATTTCAAATTCTCATGGACTTTCTGGAGCCATGGAGGCTGGGTAGAGCCCTGAAACTATTTCCCTGAGATAATCTTTAAACCTTAAACCAAAAATATCCCCTAAAGTCTACTCAAAACCAAACAATAGTTTAGCTTAACTAGTAAAACGTCTGCCTTAAGCATTGTACTCTTTTAAGAAATATCTATATGGGATCATACAGATGGGATGGCATCAAGGACATAATACATGAAGAAAGACAAAGGTCATTAAAAAGACAGGAAAGAAAGAAAAGACGAAAATGTATGTCGAAAGAGACTCTAAAACTTGCTCTTGAATGTAGAGTAGCTACAGCGAATGGAAGAAACGATGAAGTAAAAGAGCGGAACAGAAGATTTCAAAGGGTGGTTCGAGGAGACAAAATAAAGTATTATAATGAAATATGCAAAGACCAGGAGTTAGAAAATCAAAAGGGAAGAACAAGCTCAGCACTTCTCAAGTTGAAAGAAGTGAAGAAAAAATTCAAGCCTCGAGTTGCACTATTGAAGGATTCTATGGGCAAAATATTGAACGATACAAGAAATATCAAAAGAAGATGGAAGGAATACACAGTCATTGTACCAAAAAGAATTGTTTGATGTTCAGCCATCTCAGGAGGCAGCATATGATCAAGAATGGAGAGTACTGAAGGAAGAAGTCCAAACTGCACTGAAGGCATTGGCAAAAAACAAGGCTCCAGGAATTGATGGAATACCAGTTGAGATGTTTCAACAAAGGGATGCAACACTGGAGGTGCTCACTTGTCTATGCCAAGAAATTTGGAAGACAGCTACATGGCCAACTGACTGGAAGAGATCCATATTTGTGTCCATTCCAAAGAAAGGTGTTATAGCAGAATGCAGATATTATCGAACAATATTGTTAATATCACACACAAGTAAAATTTTGCTGAAGATCATTCACAAGTGATTGTAGCAGTACATCGACAGAGAAGTGCCAGAAATTCAAGCCAGAATCAGAAGGGGACATGGAATGAGAGATATCATTGCTGATGTCAGAAGGATCTCGGCTGAAAGCAGAGAATACTAGAAAGATGTTTACCTGTATTTTATTAACTATGCAAAAGCATTCAACTGTGGGGCTCATAACAAATTATGGATAACATTGCAAAGAATGGGAATTCCAGAACACTTAATTGTGCTCATGTGGAACCTGTACATAGGCCAAAGGGCAGTCATTCAAACAGAACAAGGGGATACTGTGTGGTTAAAAATCAGTAAAGGCATGTGTCAGGGTTATATCATTTCACCATACTTATTCAATATGTATGCTGAGCAAATAATCTGAGAAACTGGACTATATGAAGAATAACGTGGCATCGGGATTGGAGAAGACTCATTAACAACCTGTGCTATGCAGATGACACATCCTTGCTTGCTGAAAGTGAAGAGGCCTTGAAGCACCTCACAACTGGACCAATAAGCAACATTGTGATAAATGGAGAAAATATTGAAGTTGTCAAGGATTTCACTTTACTTGGATCCACAGTCAACGCCCATGGAAGCAGCAATCAAGAAATCAAACAACGTACTGTGTTGGGCAAATCTGCTGCAAAAGACCTCCTTCAAGTGTTAAAAAGCAAAGATGTCACTTTGAGAACTAAGGTGCGCCTGACCCTAGCCAGGGTGTTTTCAATGGCCTCATATGCATGTGAAAGCTACACAATGAATAAGCAAGACCGAAGAATTGATGCTTTTGAATTATGGTGTTGGCAAAGAATATTGAATATACTGTGGACTGCCATAAGAATGAATAATCTGTCTTGGAAGAAGGACAGCCAGAATGCTCCTTACAAGTGAGGCTGGCAAGACTTTGTCTCATATACTTTGGACATGTTATCAGGAGGGACTAGTCCCTGGAGAAGGACATCATGCTTGGTAAAGTACAGGGTGATTGAAAAAGAGGAAGACCCTCAATGAGATGGATTGACACAGTGGCTGCAACAATAGGCTCAAACATAGCAAAGACTGTGAGGATGGTGCAGGACTGGGCAGTGTTTCATTCTGTTGTACACAGAGTCACTATGAGACAGAACAGACTCAATGGCACTTAACAACAACAACATATGGGCTCAGAATGACAACAGGAACTCAGAAGATTAGATAGGAAACTTATGGGGCAGTGAGTTTATGTTAATGGAGGAGGAACAACTCAGAAAAGGAGGTTGAGCATGGTTATACAACTAGAAGAATTAATCAACGTCAGTGAATTGTACATGCACAAATTGTTGAACTGATGTATATTCTGCCATGTATATTCTCAACAACAACAAAAATAAAATGCTATTTAAAAAAATTTTGCCTATGAAGGAGAATTATTATAGGAGTAATGCCTTTCTAGCAAGAAAAAAAAAAAAAAAAGCAAACTCTGTGACCTTGGATAAGATTACACCAGATGGTTTCTAACTTCCTTAGAGCTCAGATGTTTTCAGATTCTAAGACAATGACTCTTCCTCATAATTTTGCTTGAACTGATCAAAATTCATCTGGAACTGGAGCATCGTAGATGCTCAAATAAATTAGGTTTCCTTCCTCCTTCTGCTTTTCCATTCCCATGACTATCATCAGTTGCCAGTTCCTCCTTCTGGGTTAAAGAAAGAGAGAGAAAGAAAAGAGGGCATTAAGGAAAACCCCAACAGTTTATACTGGCAAAGGCAAACCCAAGTGGAAGAGAGCAAAATATTCATATGCACTGGCATTGTTGAGACGCCTGTCAGCTTCCAGAGTATTTGGACCAGAATCTTCTGAAGGTGGCAGGGTAGCTACAAGTGTAACAGGAAAGGAAATGCATTACCAATTCCAAGGGAAAGCACCCAGCAAGCTCTCCTTTTTGCTCCACAAGCTCTAGGACCAAAGACTCTGGTCTCTATTATCACATCTTGATAAACCTCTATCACTCACTTCACAGGGGTTCGGGGCAAGGAGAAGGCCAGGCAGGGATCAGAGGTTCCACCCTCTACCCAGGTCTGTCTCCTGGCTGCCTTGGCCTAGCAGGTCCCAAGCAGGAACCTGAGACAGCTCATCTCTCCTCAGTGTTCACAAGCAGATTATTTTCCCCAGATAAGAATCTGGACACTTCTCATACTTCTAGAAGAGCTTTCTCAGTGCCAAGGGCATAAGGGAAAGGCAGCTCTCAACTTGCCCAGCAAGTCAGAGCCTCTGTCTCCATACAAGAGTGAGCCCTTCACACACAACCTCCTAGTGGGGCAATGGGGTAGGGGCTGGGGTGTGGGGTGGACCTAGAAGCTGGAGTGGAGAGAAACATAGGCCGTACGGTGAGGAGAGGGTGGCTCATCTACACTGCCTTCAAGTCTCGGTGTGAGGCATCATGAGGAAGGAGATGGACTCCTGGGATCCATCCAGAGTCTCTCCCCAGGTAAGGTACATCTGCCTGAGAACTTCATCTTCAAAGAATTTGTCCTTACATCATCTAATTTGAGCCTCACTACAATCCTAGGAGGTACTCAAGGCTATTATCATTCTCATTTTACAGATAAGGAAATCTAGAGACATTGTGACCTGTGCAAGATCACACGAGTAAGTATCAGCACAGCTGGGACCAGAGCCCATGTCTTCTGGAACCGTTAGCCCCCTCCTGTCTTCAATTTCTTCTTGCTCAGCCCAGATTCCGCAGGTCATCACTTCAGTTTCTCTCTTGCAAACATGCTTACCTTGCTTTATCCAAGGTCCTTGCATCACACTCACCTGGCCAAATTCCAAGCCAGAGGAACCCAACTGCCCAAGCCCACTGTGGCTACATTGGGATCACCAAGCACGACTAGAGGAAATCATACAAGGGTGTAGACCAACTTCCTATAGTGCCCTTCAAACAAAGTCAAAGACCTTAACATGGCCTACAAGGCCCTGCACAAGCTGCCACCTACCTACTT